TTGGCTAATATAGAGGTATTAGTCTCCTCTGACAACTAAGCAAACGTAATAGCTTGATTCTTACTGGGGAGCTTTATACATGTATGGCAGAACCAATTCTTTTTTAATTGCTGCGATACATCAGTCTCAGTAATATTGCAGTAAATTGGTTTGTATGTAGAGCAAACTAATGTAGTCTTATCTTCTCTGCCAATCGTGTTATTACATTTCAAGCACAGCGTCATTGTAAAGTAACTGCACAACTGACTTATAGAGTAATAGACATGAGAGAGGTGATGGAGAGTGAGAGATGTAGGGGGGGTTAAGCTCCGTCCTTATCTCTAGCTCCAATGTCTCGATAACTCTAAAGGTATTGCTTACTTTTTTGTTTATTAAAGAATAATACCTTGAAATATCACCAAAAATGTCAACAATTAGAGCACTAATAATCTTTAATAAGTGTAATAAGATCTATAAACGACACAACTTTTAATAACACAGTTATAACTTTGGAAAACAGAAGAACACCGACCGTACCAGTATGAGGGCAAGAGCCAGATTGAAGTTATTTGGTTTATAAAACTAGATTTTTATTACCTACCGTCAATATAATAAATAGACTTCTGTAATTTTAATGGTCTTAATGATTTGATTAAGCTTTAAGCTTTAGCTCTGTTTAAAATGCACTTAAAAAATTTGATGATAGCCCAACATAGCCAGAAATTAATTTCTATTCAAAGTAGAGCGGTAAGTGAACGTTGCGTTGCACGCACCGGTTATTTTATTATTACCGGTTAAGGAGTGATTAGTTTAGGGTCTACGAGTGTTATGTTCAATGCCTAGTTCAACAGGTTTCAACCTAAATAAATATTTTTCCAAAATGTTCAAAATTGGACTTGTACTGTTTTTATTCTCATTGATTCAATTGATTATTGGCCTTAATTATTTAACTAAATTCGGAAAAGGAATAATAAAGGACATCAGATCTTTTATGATTGCTAACATATTGATTAAAAGGAATATTAGTATATTATTAAATACATTCAGCTTTTATTCATTAAGAAATTTATATACTTGTTCAACATTGCTAACATTCTCATTCAATCAACTCTTTCATATCTCAATTCTTAATTCATTTCTACTTTTTTCATTTTCTTTTTTCATAATTTATTATTATTTATTTATTAATATACTCTACAATCCTTAACAGACGTGGGCTTCAGAAACAAGCTTTGCCAGGCTTCCCTACTGGCACCTATTTTTCTCCATCTTCTTATACCCATACGGCTGAGGTCTTCTACGTCATCAATCCACCGCAGTCGGGGTCTTTCTCTAAGGGGGCGCCCTCCTAAGCGGTCATAGAGAAGTTTTCTTGGCAATCTATCTTCCTCCATCCTCTGTACATGGCCAAGCCATTTGAGGCGGTGCCTTTTGAACGTGGCAACAATACTGTCATTTTTATAAAGCTCGTGTAGCTCTTCATTCTTTCTTATTTGCCACTGATCATTAATTCTTTTGGGACCATATATTTTCCTTAGGACTTTCCTTTTTCAAATATTTAGCAGCCTCTCGCTTTCCTGGGTCAACACCTACGTTTCACATCTGTAGGTAATGACTGGTCAAATGATGGTTTTATAAACTGTTATTTTGGCATCCCATGACAGTTCCTTTGATTTTAGTAATTTTGCCAGAGAATAAAAATTTAAAATTTTCTTAATTTAAGTGTACATAATTATCATATCAGTATCTTATCTTTCAACTTTTTTTTTATTTTTTTTAAATTTATTTATTTATTTTTATATACATTACATCATGTCATAATGATAAATTACATTTTTATGGTTGCAGTAACCTTACACATGACATACTAGTGGTTTGAATGCTACTTAGAAAATTTAAATCCTTTTTTACAGTAGGAAAAACCTCATAAAAACCTATATAAGATATAAATGAAAAAACTATGTTACAATCATTAAAAGTACAAGAAAAACTAAATATAATTTATCTACAAAAGGAAACTATGTATATATATATATATATATATATATATATATATTTACACACATACATACTCACACAAAACATATATATATACATACGCCTACATATATACATACACACACACATCATATAAATACAATTTATTAATTGGAGTGATTGAGTTTATTGTTATTTGTTTGATGATAGATAAGAAACCGTTAAATTTTCATAAATAAACAGATTGATTTAGACATTTAGTAGTATGTGTTTAGTCCATCTGTGTGTACCGTTTCAAAGATGTCTTGTCATAGTTTCCTATTGTTCGGATCATAGGGTTTTCAGACATTGATGTAAGCTCAAAGAATCTCTGAGTTTTAAAATAAATATATCTTTTTATAGTTGGAAGCTCTAATTCTGCTAGCATAATAGATATTTTTGTATAACGTGGATAATTGTTTATGATTCTCATACACATATTTTGAATCACTTCGAGTTTTTTGTAATTAGTCTAGCATGTGTAACTCCATACTGGGGCAGAATAAGTGATTAAAGGGCGGATTACTGTGTTTTATAAAATCAGTTTATTTTTTGTATTCAATTGTGAATATCTATTAAAATATGGTGACATTTTGCTGATCATGTTTTTTTCTTTATTGCACTTATTGTTAATATGTTGGGTGAAATTTAGGGACCTATCAAGTTCTAGGCCTAAATATTTCATGAAATTGGACCAAGGAATCTGTACTTCTTTTATGTGTATATTGTGGTTTATGCGTGGTCTTCTTTTTGTAAAAATAATTGCTTCAGTTTTTTTAACATTTATTTTTATTTTCCATTTTTCAAAATACTTGCAGAGTTTTGTGAATTGGGATTGTAATCTGTTAGTTATAGTGTCAATTCTAAAAGAAGAGGTGTAAATAGCTGTATCATCTGCATATAAGGAGTATTCTATTGAAGGAATGGAAGGGAGATCTGAGATGTATAGGCTGAATAGTGTAGGAGAAAGACAGGAGCCTTGAGGGAGACCTGCAGATAGGAAATGGTCATTCTTTATTGTAATGTAAAAGGATCTATTGTTAAGATATGAGTGAACGAGGTGGATTATGTAAGGAGGGACTTTATATAAAATGAGTTTATGGATAATGCCCTCATGCCATACTGTGTCAAAAGCTTTTTCTATGTCTAGGAGGAGCATACCGACATGCTTCTTTTCATTGAACGCTTTGGTAATATAGTCGGTCAGCAGTTTGGCTAGTTGGGCTACTGTTGAATGCTGTTTTCTAAACCCGAATTGCTTGTTAGATATCAGACTATTTGGAGATATTTCCTTTCAACTGCTTCAAATAAACTTATGTATTTTCTACTACATCCATAGTTGTTCATCATTGCTTTTATACTTTATGGTTGTAAGGTTAGCCCAGATAAAGGTCCACAACTTGAGCCAAAATGAGTAAAAAATGAAAAAAATAAAATTAAAAAATAAGGATAGTCGAAAATACTTTGATATTAAGCCAGATGATTGAGAGAAAGCAAAAACTATTAATTTAGGTGTCAAATATTAGATCATAAACAATGTCAGGTTTCAAATGAAAGATATTTATTTCTCCATTTCATTGAAATGGTTATTACTTTCTATGTATGAGTTAATGTTAAAGATAATTAAAAATTGAAACATTTAATTATTATAACCATTATGGGGATCATGAAGATAAGTTTAGATTTAGTTAAAATTTGGTAAAGATTGGCTCAATAGATTTCATGACTAGCGGTTACAAATAAAAAATGCTGTCTTATTTTATGTAAATGCATATATAATATTTTATTTTGTTATGCTTTTTCATTTTATCTGTCTTCCATTTTCTTATAGCAGCATTTTTGCAATGACCAATGATTCTTCATTAAAGAGGCAATGTTAATAACAGGTAAATGTGATTCTAACAAAAATGTGAAAGTAGGATTAAACATTATTAAGAATTTTTTCATCAGTCCTAAGGGAGATGTTTATTTATATAAGGTATATGAATACATTAAGTAACAGTTTTACTCTCCCAAAAAAGTTTTTCTTTATTTTTATGACCTTTTGGGATCACTTTATTATCCCATCTTCAGACTAGAAACAATTTTGTTATTTGTATTTATATATTATCATTATAATATTTTTATAACTTATATCAATAACAGATTAGCCAATTTTACCCGTATTTCACCCTTCTATCGTCTAATTTTTTATTTTTTTTTAAAGATTTGTCATAATTTTTATTTTTATAAATCATCCCTAAAAATGCAATAATTTTATGTGTTATATTATTATTTTTATGCAAGTAGCATAGATTTTGTAATGGATTTATTTACCTTAATTATATTGTGGACTCCTCTAGGGGACTAGTCAGACACTGAACAAAACCTTGAACCAAGGGTCAGCTTCCAAGAAGTTTTATTTATTTTTATATATTTAATTTGTTAATTATATAAGCGTAATGGCTCCCTATTTTAGCTACATCTGTTTTATAATTTATTGCTTTATTAATGTGTTTAGTGATGAATATAGATTCTATTATTTTTCTGTGTGTTCTATTTGAAACTTAATGTAATATTTGAGGTTGCGTTAAATTAAGAATACTTATAAAACTCTTTAAATACGTAATGGATAGTGGAGAAATTATTTTTAATACTTTTCACTGGCCAGACCATGGATTTCAGTACCTTAAAACATTCTCAAGACAACATGCACCATTTTACAAAAACATAAAATGCATGTGAAGCGATTCAGTAGTTTCCATAGTTAATGAATTCAAGAAAAAACCGGACATTCTTTTCATATAATAGTGGAATTAACAAAAATAAAATAAAAAATTATTGAAACCTTTTTCTTTTAGGAACCTTTCCTTATAGGCTTCATAATAAGGAAAATTGGAAAGCAATAGCCCAAGAAGGATAGAGATGGAGAAGAGGGATTCCAGCGGCCAAAGATCTACAAGGTATGTTAAACCAACAGAAAATTAAAAAAAAAATTGTAAAAGCATTAGAAAAATGGGGAATACCTGTAAAACAATACATAAGCTCTCGCAGATGCTACATTACTGATGGGAGTAACACAATGATCATCATACTCATACCATTCTCCAGTTGTCCTATTCTTAGCTAAACAAGTGTAGTGGCCACTAGAGCCACCATGCCCATGATGGCAAATAACAGACACTAAGTCATACTTGGTCACTCCATTCCTACAGTCTGAAAAAAAAAAATTAATATGTGACATATTTCTATGAGAATAAAAGAAGTACAAAATAATGTAATAAAATGTTACTAAACACAAATAGCAGCAGTATAAGGAAAAATGAAATCTTTTCAATATTTGCCAATGATGCATACCCATCAGATACTAACAAAATATATTATTAATTTAGGCATTAAACCTTTTTGTTAAAAGTTTTTCAATTTTAATTGTTTGTCCATAAAGGTAATTTACTACAAGAGATTCAGGCTGTCTCTCTATTTGACTCCAATACGGAAGTAGAAACAGTGGAATTCTTTTTAATTCAGGCGCATAACTTTTTATTTGTCAATTGTTATGGAAATTCGATTTTAAAACTTTGTCACAGAAAAATAACAAGCATTTACCACCTTCAGGCTAACCTTAATCCCCTCTTCAATTTTGTTTTTTCTGGTTATCATAGATCCTAGATAACTAAACTTCTCCTACGTGTTCAAACATATTACCTTCTAAATGATAATATTTATTTTTACATATGCCGACGTTTCGACCTGAAGTTCAGGCCTTCATCAGGGCTAAGAAAATAACCAGATAACAAAGTATGAGAAACATAAGTAGTGATGGTAAAAAAAATAAATAAATAAAAAATTACAAAAAAATAAATAAATAAATGTAAAAATAAATATTATCATTTATTTTTGCCTTCTTTTTTGACTGACCACCCCAACTATTCTTCTCTTCATTATCCACGACAGTCAACCATTTACCAATTATATTACCTTCTATATTGATATTACCAGCATTATCGCCATTTTTGCAGCTTACCACATACTTTGTCTTATCCGAGTTTATTTCTAGCTCTAGTTATTTACTGGCTTTCATTAACGATGTTGTATTTAGTTTTATAGTTTCCAAGTCTTCACTTAACAGGATCAAATCATCCGCATAGCCAAGCACAGGTGTTGTCTCGTCACATACACACACAGACCATTTTGTGGCACTTGTTTATTTGGGCTCAGGGGACCTCAAAATGTCAAAGGGGATGTCAAAATTTTAGCGTTGAAAACTCAGATTCAAAATTTTTCACAATCGCAATATTAACTCTCACTATATATTACATAGCATAGATTAGAATAGAATAGAAAAATGAATTTTATTCTAGGACAAAGTTCCCTCAGAAAAAGAAATGAAAAAATAATGCATATCTAGCCAAAAACTTACTTAATAAAAATTCTAACAATAAATACAGCAATTTAAATAATAATATGTAAACAAATAAAAAAATAATATTGGTAGTTGTAATGTGAGAATATATATATATATATATATATATATATATATATATATATATATATATATATATATATATATATATATAAGCTACACTAGAACAGAAAGCAAAAATAGTAAACAAAATAAAGTGGGTTTCCTTTTACGAATCGTTATATATATATATATATATATATATATATATATATAAAACTTTGGACTTTTAAAAGAGATGATGTAACCTTCTTTGGTCAATTAAAATAAAGCAATATTTCAGAAAGATAATAGTTCCTGCCCATATATCAAGCTTAGGCTTGGTCAAAGAAACCTTCTAAGAAATGGCTCCACCCTCATTACAGCTCTAATTTGGCACTGGAATATTATAGAACCATGGAATGTTTAGAACTTCAAAAACAACGAATAGAGGATATAAAATAGGATGTGAGGAGTTTTAAGACAGGTTTAAGTAATTGAGGATAATGGCCAATATTTTGAAGAGTAATTTTAATGTATAGATTTTATACTGAATTTATCACAAGTATTAATAAGAATAGTTTACCTTTGCCCATAAAAGGTGCCAAGTCTAAGCCTGTTAATGGAAAACTAACATGTGATGATATTTTAGAAGGAAGAGCAGGTTCATGACGAAACCTTTTCAAATGTATGCAGAGTATCTCTGGACAAGACATTAAGCGGGAATATTTGACACCATTCCTTAACTTCTGACACTTTTCACAGCTGCAAAGAAAAGAGAGTCGTATTAATAAATGTATTTTCACAAATTTTATAGTTAAAATTTTGAAAGAGATACTTTTAAATTTTAAAGATTTTCATCAATTATAGCTCCAGAAATAATCCACAGAAATTTCTTAATGGATTGATGCAACATTGAAACATGTCTGATACTCAGTATGATGAAAGTGTTAAGTTCTACAACTTAAATTTTAAATTGATATGATGGAGTGAAACAATCTGTTTTTGAATTGAATAAACTATTTATACACAAATTATAAATTTGAATAAACACAATATTAGCAATACAATTTTGACCTAAGAAAATTAATAGATTCAATATTTTTCTAATATACTTAACTTAAATTAAAAAAAATAATTAACATGTATAAATACAACTCTTGCAAATTGAAACAAATGTAGGTATTTTTTTTCTTAATTAAAAATTCTTTTCAAATCACATAAAAATGTTTTGTCACTTTATACAACAGGTTTTATTATATAATTTATTCTTGAATAAAAAGAATCAGGAAAAACAATTTTACCCTTTTAAAACTTCTTTTATTTTCTTTCTTTAAAAAATGTATAATATTTAGTGAGAGTAAGAGTTCCCTATTAAATATGCAAAATAATTTTTAAAAACAAAAAACCTGTACCACTACAACTCTCGAAGGGTCTAGGGTTCAGTCAACACAAGACTGATGGTTATGCAGAGATGTGATCGGGCAGAGATCACGCTCAACAATCAGGTTTTCTCTTTAATTAAATGTAAACACTTTATAGAGGCTGGGTGTGCAACAGGAGGGTCTTCTGACCCCAGGATTGATCTATGCCTGATGTAACAGAATAAATAATTACCTGCTATCAACCGCCTTGAAACTCAGGACGGACCTTGAGCTTAAGAAGTCAGTGCTTTACCCACTGAGCTACCCTGCTCCCATAAGGTAAGTAAATAATAAATAAATGTTATTAAAATCAACAGCAATAAACAAGCAGAAGTTTAAGGGTGTTGTTATTGCCACTTTATGGTTCACCATTTCCTAAATACAGTCCACTTATGAATTATTTCAATACATGTCCTTATTCAGAAAAAACGGGAAAATTAATAAAACATAAATATATATAAAACCTTGGAAATGGTAAATCACCTTAGATAAATCCTAAAAGAGAAATACAGCATGTCTTGGAGGAAATATATCATTACCCTTTACATAACAGGTATGCAATGGAGCACATTTTGGTGGGAGCTTGGAGCATACAAGAAATGAATAGAAAATGCTAGCCAAATCCAAATGAAATAACAGATAAATTTGAGATGATAATGAAATTCATTACTATTATTAGATAATCACTAGATTAGTGAGAAAACGTTATTACAACAGAATCACTGATTCTTTAAATAAATTCTATCATAACACTCCAATATCTAGTCATTATAGAATCACCTCTGACACCTTGTTGACAAATGTGTAATTACTGCAATAATAGAAATAGGTTTTGTAAAATCAAACTGATCTATGTCATTTATTTGTCTTCACAATGACTTAACTCCATAGATAAATGATATGCTCTAGCTTAGGTTTTTTGTTTTAATATATATTGTATTAAACACATTGACTGCCTTCCTTTGGGTTATTTAATAGTTCGCTTAGGTGCCATATCTTTTCAGTAATGATGACATTTATAGTGCTTTTTGACAATGATTATGTATTACTTTTTTTTTTATTCTGTTGGCAACACAAACCTTGTAGGTCTTTTGCTGCCATAACAAAACTACTCCATCTCTGCCTATTTCTTTCCATTTATCTTCATGCAGCTCTATTGCATCTTTGTTGATTCGATCTATCCATCTGCTTTTAAGACATTCATTGTCGTGTGGAGAATTCCAGATGGATTGCTCTGAGCTACATGTCCTGCCCATCTTAACTTAATATCATGAGATATTGATTGATGAGTTTATGAAATTATTGAAGTTTTTAATAATATAACTAAATTAAATTGGCTTTTTAAGAATCCTGAAAATTGTATTGGAAAGTTAAAATGTTAGAAAAACATCAATTACTAAGAAACATTAATAAATTTAAAAAAAATTATTATTAAACATTATACGAAAATACCATATGACATATAATGTTTCCAAGTAGATATCATATACCATTTCCTAATTTCAAAAATAAATAATTAATAAGTATAATATTATAGTTCTGAAAGAAAATCTAATATGCATGATATTAATTGAAACAATACATTATAATAATAATAATGCTTTATTTATTCTGGGACGAGTCCCTTTAGAATAATATAGAAAGACAAAACTGTGGGCTAAGGAGCCTCAGAGATACATAAACAAAAATATAGAGTAAGTAAATAGTCAAAATAATAAAAGAAATCATAAGTTACTTTCTAATTTAAATCAGTTAATAATAAAAAATGAAAAATTTAAAATAAACATGAAGTAAAAATAATGAAGAACGATCTAATAATTTATATAAATATTTACAGTAATAACTATTTACAATTTTATGGGAACTGGATGGATAAGAAATTATTGAACAGGCGGGTTTTAAAGGTAGGAAGGGTTTTGGATTGACGGATATCGGGAGGGATGGAGTTCCATAGGGATGAGGATCGGATAATGAACGATCTGTCGAAAGCAGCGGTTCAGTAGGCCCTTATGTATAAATCAGAAGACCGGGAACGAACAGAGGATTTGAATCGAAGGAGCTCGGAGATGTATGAAAGACGGTGGGATTGGATGAATTGGATGGGAAACAGAGGCGTCCCTTGGGATCTCGAAGATGAATCGTACAAAGCAATTTATCAAACGTTTTAATTTTGCCTTGAGATCCCCAGAGACGCCCCCATATACCGTACAGCAATAGTCAAAGTGGGGAAAAATTAAGCAAGTTACTAGGAGCCTACGGATTTCAAGGGGAAATAGATGATGGGAGTAATTTATCTGACTGTCTGCAACGAATTTTACCCCCACTAGACCAGACATATCTTATTTTTGCAGTCACACTCTTCTGCCTGGCTAACCAATAGAGGTGTTTACTGGTGGGCATCATGGCTTCACTCACGTAGACGAGATGCGAGTCGTTCTCAGCAGCCTAGATGGCGTGTAGAGAAATCTCTTATCGCTCTTCGTTGCCGCACCAGCTCATCTCTCACCGCTTGTCTGATAAATCTTACTATAATTGGGCCTGGGGTCCCTTCTTGCTTGGGTCTTAGTCTCACGGCATGATCGAGATCGTCCGGACTCAACTTAACGCCCAGACCCGCTCCGACACTAAGAATCGTGCCTGTTACGGTTTCGCCAGGCTTCTCCGGAATTCCTCTAATTTCAATTGTATTTTTCAGTTGATACTGTTCTGCGGAATTCAGGCGACTTTCCAGCTTGGATATTTTTGTTTTTAATAAGTTATTTTCCATAGTTAATTTTTCAGTATGGGTTTTTTGCTCTTCCAGGAGTTTTAATTTTTAATAATCACTCCATATTCTCAAAAGATAGTTCCGATTGCTTCTGGAGGGTTTCTTTTATCTCCTTTAGCTTGTCTAAACCCTGAAGTTTGGACTTCAATTCCTTTACTTCATTGGCCAGGGTCCTCAGTAGGTCTATCATAGTATTATATATACAGTCTGGCCAGAGACGTCAAGCAGTTCACTTCGTTCCTATAGTTTTTTCTCTCTAACATTCGTACCCTCTGTTATTTCTTCTTAATTTTTATATATATGTTGTTTTTTTCATCACGGTCAAGTGAGTTTATTTACGTCCTTCATTAATTTATTTATTTTTTTTTTAAGGTCGTGTTTCACTAGCTGTGGATTGAGAAGCGGCTATTAATCCTCCTAAGCTTCTGAGTATTAAGGACCAACAACACGCATCTATTGACAAACACTCTTCTAGCGTGAGTAAATATTATTATATTATCACGAAAATGGTTCAGTGCTCTATTTGTGATAGTGCCATCTCTAGAGAGGACAAAACTAATATAGGCTGCAATAAATGTCAGGTTATCTTTCACGGTAAATGCTGCAAACTGGGCGATAAAGAGATCGAGACATTAAAATCTCAAAAAAAGGTATGGCTTTGTAAAAAATGTGACCAAGGCAAAAAGACATTAGAGAAAAATTTAACAAATTAGAGAAAAATCAGCCAATCCACCAAGAAGTGAAATCAAGAAGCCGTCCGCAGCTGATATTCTCGGAGCGGTTAATCGACTTAGCGCCCAAGTCAATGAAGACATTAAAAATCTTAAGTCATCATTAGAAAAAATACGGGGAGCTCAGCTTCGAGTTAAATGAAAGGTTTTCAAAAATAGAAAATCATCTAGAGAGCCAAGCTAAACATCTGGAGGAATTGACTACGGAAAATAAAACGCTGAAATCCAGAATGGGGGAACTCGAGGTACGATTAAACAGAGCCGAGCAGGGCCTACTCTGTAGATCGGTTGAGATCCGAGGCATTCCGGTACGTGCAGGAGAGACCCCTTCGGCCCTAGTTGCCAGTGTGGGAGCTGGTCTCGGTGTTAAGATTAACATCGAGGACATCGATTTTGTGGAGCGCCGTAGACCTAAAAAAGACGATCCTAGACCACCACCAGTTACAGCTCACTTTGTGAGGCAGGCAGTACGAGACGAGCTGGTCGAAAGAAGAAAGGTCAAAAGGGACTTTTCAACTCGAGACATCGGCTGGCAGGAAAACGACTCCCACCGGATATACCTGGTTGAAGAAATGACCCCTGCTAATAGAAGATTGTATTGGCTCGCACGTCAGAAGAGAGCGGCTGGTAAACTAAAATACGTGTGGTTTTCGGCGGGTAGATTGCGCTGCAGAAAAGGAGATGGCCATCCTGTGATATACATCGACCAACCAGATGATCTAGATGTTTTCTGATGACCTTCTGATTTACGTCAACCTACAAAATGCATCCGTAAACTCCCAATCTTCTATTGTATAATACAGCACCGTGCTGGGTTGCCCATCTACTACTATTATTATTATT